CCAACGGCAACAGCAACTGATGATCACACATTTTAGTCTTAATCCGGATTAGGCCACTGCGCCCCCGGTCACTCCACGAGGAGGCATTCATTGTGGTAGCGGAGAAACAAGGACCTGTCCCCTTTCGTTGGGGACGGAGGTGAAAGACGAGCGTAGACTAGTTAGCTAGTTACCATCGTGCTTCTATGAGGTACATCCTCTTGTTCCAATGAAACTGAATGCTATTCCCCTCGTGTCGTGCGAACACCCACATAAACGACTCAGTTGCTTGGGCCCTCGGGCTCGATTCGTACCAGCGTTGACAAAGGTCCTCCGGACCAGATAGGTAGTCTGCCTAAAACTAGTACTTTTTATATATGTATCGTCCTCCAGGTCTTCTTCTAGAGCCATGACAGAGTTGATATCTTCTGTTCGGGTGGGAGGTTGCTGCATTACGATTGGAACAATCAACTCTCCTCGGGCCTGATCAACAAGAGTGTTGTCACCGTTTGCATTGATGATTAAGGACAAGACTTTGTCCCAGCGCTTGTATACGTTGTAGAAGGCTTGGTGAGAATCATATCTGCTCCAAGCACTCAGGACAGTACGGGCCAGTGCATCAACACTGGACTTGGTTTTTCGTCTGTGTACTTTCTCTACATATGACTGCAGACCGCACCAGATGCCAAGATCAAGAAGATTTGTTTCAGGGCTGCGGGGTACCTGATGAACTACCTTGACATTGTACTGGCGCTTGAGCTCCCGCTCGTACCACTCAATGCAGTCCTTGGTTCCATGACCTCCGGCATTGCCCATCACGAGCTCAATCTCTTGTGCTTCCTCTACCCACCAATATGCATCACGAATTGCCTTGCCCATCTCCAGCATGTGCTCTTTCATCCACTCAGTATCACAGGTACAGTCCTTTTCATACACGTCTCCTCTTCTTCGCACGGAAAAGATGTGGATATCCTTGAGATCGATTGGTTCAAGATTGCCTCCAGGTGCTCAACGGATTGAATGAATGAGGAGGCGTCTCTCCTCATCAAGAGTGACCCATTTGGTGGATTGCTTGGCTGTTCTTGAGATGGTGTGTGTCTTGTACCGCAATACAAGGTGCTCTCGAATGTCTTCATCAACGCAAAACTCTTCTATGGCAAGGAAACTGTCGAGCAGCTCTCCGGCTGTCATTGATGGAACAACGGCTGGCAAGTGAAGAGATCTCCAAGTGGTGTGGATCAGCTTGTTGGCCTCAAAGTCATCAACCAGTTGCTTGAAATAGGTCACTCTCTTGGCAACCGTCGGTTTGCTCACCCGTCTTATGAATATCTTTCCATCGAAATCATGCTCGGGGTGTGGACAAGCAACAACAGCACAAAACATAACTTTGGTGGCGTATCTCCTGCTGGCGACTCTCTCCGGTTGGTAGTCTGCAGCACCTGCCACTTCCCCTTCTTGATAAGGCAGTGTCTTGATCTTGCGACGATTCGACGAATTGTAAAACCATTTTTCATCCAAGAAGCATCGGTAAGGTGGCGCTGCTTTGAAAACTCGATTTTCCGTGTTGCCATTATTGTATTTAATCAAATGCTGATCATTGGCAGCCTTCATTGCCGTGCTCCACTCAACTCGTTTTGTTTTGTGCTTTTCTGTAAGAATGGGACGTGTGACAGTTCGAGTTGTTTTACCTCTTCGAGAAACAAACCATCGGTGGAGCTGCTGGTGGGATACCCTTACCGGAGGTCTTTCATCGTGTGGTAGCTTCGATATTGTGTTGATCGAATCAGCATATTCCTTCCAAGTTGCCTTGTTTCCTTCAAGCTTTTGTGCTTCGCGAAACAAATGGATAAGATAACTTGGGTGTTCCTTTTCGAGGTTGTCAGTGTAGCATCCCCTTTGATTACCGACCGGTTTCAATTGCAATGCCTCTGGTATTCTGACCTCGCCAGTTTTCATTGCTTTATTATACTGTTCACTCCAGGCTCGGAGTCCGGCGGCTCCTTTGAAGGGCTTTTTGTACCCTGAATCATAGGCGACCAACTTGGAAGCAGCCATTGCAATGGTGTCCCGTTGGCTCCACGATAGTTCCGGAAGAGAGTAGCCCCAAGAGTTTGCCACTGCCAGGACCATCCATCGCATGGATTCATCAGGTCGCCTCTTGTCCACAAGAGCGAAGCTCCCATCTCCATATCTTGATGGGCGCTTTCCGTCATCACGACGGCTGAAGTCTAGGTTTTGTGCAAGAGTCATCTCTGCTGGTGGCTTCCAGCACTGACCAACTACAACGGCAAGTGGTTGTTGACTCTGCTGCTGTTGCTCGGTTGTGTCATTGTTATTATTGCTGTTGGGCGTACTACTATCAGTCGCCACCTCACTCATTCGCTCTTCGCTATCAGATGAGCCGGCCATATCGGTGTATCCTTCACCCGGCAACGGAATCGGCATGATATTGTTGGTGTTGCTGTCTGCTGTATTCACTGGACTGGAGAGCAACATTGAGGTATCTTCATCCTCAAGAGGAAAAGAGTCGTCATCATCAAGACCCACAACTCCCCGTACAGTTGTGTGCTCCTCATCTCTTCGTGCCACTTGTTGTGGTGGTGGCGGGTATGTCCGGATCTGTGGTGGCACGACACTAAACGACAATCTGCGTCCAGTCCTTTTTAACCAGGTCGATCGACTTTCGGTTCGTGGAGAGGATTGAAGTGGTGGTGCTAATGGTGTTCTTGTCGGTGGCTTTTTGGCTGTTGTTGCCTCTGCCACGAGGACACCCCAGTATTCGTTCAGCTTCTCTGCTGTTTGCTTTGACAGCTTCAGCTTTTGAAGAGGTGTTTTTGCTGGAGTAATGCTGCTCAACGGTGCCACTTCTGAGAGCACTGGTGTGACTCGAGGCGTTGCATCTTTCACCCTCGGATTTCCGCGGATAATGAAGAGGACGTCTTTTTCTTTCCCATCAAGGCCAAGGGCTTTGTGCAATCTCCATGATGCCTTGATTCTACTATTGAGTCGTTCGAACAGTTTGTCGATGGTGTTGGTGTCAATGCCGAGGTCTCCATCGGTTGATGTGGATTGTCCGAAGATCCCAGCTTGCTTGAAAAGGTAGATAATTGTCAACACGGGCAAAGCTGAAACGGTGCAGAGGCTATTGTTGGCGGCAGCATCGCATTCGTTGACTGGTATAAATACCCATCGTCTTGGCTGCACTCGACTAATAAGTTTTAAAACGTACTTTTGTGCTTCTTGCTCATTCACGTTCAACATAGTTAGGCTTCTGTCATCGTCGTGTGGAGCTGTGTTGGCTGCTTTATTGTGTTGTGCTGTCGCATCTTCTCCCAAAAGCTTGTCTTTTCAAATCAAAGGAACCGTTGTGGTTGGTCGTCAACAAGAGGAAGAGCAACAGCAACCAATGCCTCGTCTGTACAATCATTGATGGGCTGTACAATCATCGATGGGTTGGAGACTGCTACTGTTGGAATCTAATGATATGATGAAATACATATTAACAAATAATGAGACTGGCTACTATGTTTATTGCTTCGATCGCCGCCTTGCTACAATTACAACTCTCCTCCGTCGTCTAGACTGCATCTTCTCGGGCCTGTTGAATTCTCTTAATAAACTGACGGCCATGATCGACATATTCATTCATCATGAATGTGAGCTGCATCTTGGCAACGCGAGAGATCGCACTGTTACCAGTCTCAAATTCGATAACAAGGAGACGAGCCAAGGCATTAGCCGAACCGAGTTTACGTGGCTTGCCAACCAACCACTTTGAAGGATGAGGTAGGTCAAAGAGTTTGCTGGAGAATCTCATGAAATCGCCAGAGGACAAATCCAACTGGTCGCCAATGAACTCCATGCGATAGACTGGAAGCTGCAAATGCTGCTGAAAGCTGAGCTTTCCTCTGAGACGGAAAGTTTCTCCACTCAAATACCACACTCGGAGGGAAACGTTGTGGGCATCAGCCTGGGCCAGCTTTTCGTTGGGGTGAAGCACAGTCTTCCAAGAGCTTGTTTTGCTGACATCCTCCATGGTTCTCGTTGACTTGATAACTCTTGTTCTGTTGTTGTTGAGGTTGTTGCGAAGATTTGTGTTGTTGCCGGGGAATTTGAATGAATGAAACTGGATTCGAATCTTCCACAAAAAACTTGAGGAACAATCTCCCGCCCAAACCGAAGACGTCAGGCTTGAACTTTCACTCCTCTGCTGCGAACAAAACACACTGCTGTTGTCTCACAAGTTCCTATCATAGGATAACAGCATGGTCAATTTCAACACAAAAGATTTGAAGGTGGCAATCTACAACCACCATGACGACAATCCATCCGCACTGCCAGATGACAGCGTCAACAAGTTGATGGGAGCACTGGAGTGGGCTTTCGAGCACAGCAGAAGCCACAAGATCGTCTTTTCTTTCGGATACCACTACCTCACATCTGATGCTGTGGCCAAGATCAACTCTGTCGTCCGCAAGCATGATGGCAAGATTAAGACGTTCAAGCCAGCCATGATCTTCACGAAAGCCGACAAGACAAACACCGTCAGCGTGTTCTACATCTCTGGACTGGCCCATATTTTTGGCACTGATTACGAAGGGGCATCCAAGGAACATGTCGATTTGCTTGCCAATGATGAAGAGAAACGAATCGACAGCAAGCCACCGAAAAAGCCGACCGCCAAGCCAACCATCAAGCCAACCACCAAAGCGACCAGAAAGAATGCTCGTCACTACAAAAAGTATGACGACAGTGATAGCAGCAGTGTCGAAGATGTCTCTGACCAAGGATTGACGCAGGAGTTGTACCGCACTAGTCGTCGCTAAACGCAAAGAAGAGCCGCGGCGATGTTGCTTTTCTTCGGTCGTCATGGTCGCAGTTGTGTGGGTGGTGCATGAAGAAGGTGGTGGGAAAGCGTGCTTCAATATTTTTCTAGCATATGTTTCGTAGAGTAAATTAAAATAGCACGTTTTTATCTAAATCAAATCCATGCAGTGCCTGCCTGCGCTCTTTTGTGGAGGCGCGCAGCAAGACGTCGTTGCCTCTAAATCTTTTCGAGTCGTAGAAGACATTCGCCGATCTAAATGGAGTTTACAAAAAGCAGAAAGGTATTTGAAAAGATACTGGTCTGCACGTGGGATTGAGAAAGACTAAGACTTGCTTGCAACTTACTTGGCGATTGGCGATGGCTTTATTTCACGAACAAAACACCACGAATTAATGACTGTGACTGACGTTGTGTTGTCCATGCCAACTGCCAACAACAACACAACCAAGTGCTCACAAACCCGGCGAAAATAGCTCTTTCCCTGTTCACTTTACTTGAGAGGAAACCGGACAGCTATTGAAGCCTTCCCAGGAAACACAACACAAAAGACTCCACACCACTTGAAGCCACTCACAAGACAACACAGCAAAGATGATGAGCGAAGGCTACTACTACGATGAAGATTTTGGCATGGAACTGCAATCCTTGGACAGCAATGACGAGAGGAATATTGTTCCGCGGGAACGCATTGTGTTGACACCGCCACGAGAATGGCTCGATCCCAAAAAGCCTCTGCCCACGGACAAGGAATATCATCGTTGGATCAGCGAGCAGCTTCGTGCTCATCGAAGTGGGCATCGTCAAAGACATGATCGCAATGATGATGCCTCTTCGTGTGCTTCAGACAGCAGTCAATTATCGGCCATTGGAAGAGCCATCCAGAATGTCAAATCCAAAGTCGTTGCAGGGGTGCTGCGAAAGAGACACAATGCTGCCGCCAGCTTGGAGCGACAGACGCTTTTGGAGGAAGACTGCTTCTCCTCGCGGGATAATGGGGTGGTGGGAATGGAACTTTCCCTCATGTCCTAAAAAAATACTACACAAACAAACACAACAACACTACAATCCCTCCTGTTATTTGTTTCTACCTTCCCTCGCTGGAAAGCGCATCACCAACACTTTACCACAATATGCTCCTTGCTTGGTAGCGCCGCCAGCTGTAAACCTCCCATTGTTTCTTTGTTTCTTGATAGACACAACGCCCCATAATGATTTCTTAAGAGAAATTCTACTACCTATTACTGTGACCTAGTGATCAACTTCCTGTCCCATGATACCGTGGTCATTTTCCTGATAGTTTCACCGTGGGAGCAAGGAGATGAACAGACATCCGTGTGGATCGATGGATCTTCGAATGTCGATTCGCCATGTCATTTTGTTCCCACATGGCTCTCGATTCTTGATTCGCGTTTGTTGTCCTGGAAACTTCCTGCAAGACCCAGAGCCGACACCCAACTCGATCCAGAGGACGGGCAGTCCATAGTGCAGGCTTGAGGTTGAGTCTGTGCTTTGGTATGGGACAGTGTGGTCAACATTCCAACCCCCTTCGATTGGGAATCGATCTGATCTTGCTTGCTTAAATTTTGTTGAGGTGGGATTCTGCTGCCTGCTGAGAACGATGCCATCACGACGAATCGTACTTGCATTGCATCCCGTCAAGCAGCCGATGCAACATGATGTTACGTCAATGCTCTTGCTGTTCAAGTGTCTGTTTTTCCTGCTGCTGCTTTTTCTTTGTTTGCCACTGGCGGATGCCAATAAAAGACTTGATTGCGCCCTCGAAAGGGAAGCGTCGCTTGTTGGATGGACGGATCCCGTTCCAGAATATACGTGCAGATATCCTCGTAACTCCGCACTGGTTTCCCCGACGATGCCAATTGTCGTGTTTGAAAGAGATTGGGAAAGACACAACAGGGTACAATCGCCCAAGGAATCCCCAAGGCCAATCCAATATCAATAATGGGATCCGTGGCTTGGTCGGGGTGCAATCCCAACAAGACGGAACATTTGCGATTGCGGAGCAATGTGCAGAGCTTGGCTTGTTCTGGATTTAGCTTGCATGAATCCTCCTCCTGCGACACTACTTTTGGAAGGATACTCTTGCGATTGCCCCCAATCGCGGCCAATTCGTTGGCTTCCAAGACATGTTCACTTTCCAAAAAGCATTGAATTTGTTCAAACTCATTAATGCGCATACGATTGGTCAAATTGTGTGCCATGGGACTGACACGCAACAAGTCGGTGGCGAGTTGGACCAAACAGTATTTGCGGAAATCCAAATGTCGTTGTTGAAATGCTTTGAATCGGACCAGTTGGGTATCGACGACAACCGTGGGAATCTCGTGTCGAATGGACAATTCAAACGCCAATGCACCGGCTCCACCGGCGACATCCAAGACGGGTTGTTGGGACAATGCCGGGTATCCTCCAAATTCTTTCAACAAAAAGCCGACAAATTTTCCAAAGCGACTATTGTCTTTTTGACCGGAAAAGAGTCGATCCTTTTTGCGGTCCACCGTCATGTCGTGGGCCGTTTGGTCCTCGGGGGTGACAGTGACAATTTTGGGTTGGATAATCATTTCCTCGGCGGCAAATATAAGGGACTGATCCTGGATGCGTATGGTACGGGCATGCATCACCAAGGGATCGGAATCTGTAGGGTGTTTGGGATATAACCGAGCCAAAAAGCCATTCACGTGTATTGTGGTTGTAGATTGTCGGATAGTATGGTTATGATCACCATTGGTAGTACAAGAAGCAATCTCTTGATCCCAGATGGATCGAATGCTCTGGTAGGTTTCTTCCAAGAGCTCTTTTCCCCATCCTTCCTTGCGGTGCATCAGAACATCCAACACTGTCATGCCACTCATACCGGTAGTACTTGCAGTACTGGTGCCATTTTCACGAGTAGAAGCATCCGGGATGAGATCTGGAGGGTCCCCACTAGTATCAATCCTGGTAGCATTATCCGTAGCGTCGAATAAAGCTCGGCTCGCTGGATCCAAGTGGAGGGTGAACAAAGCCATACTAGGAGACAGCTGGCAGCAAAAGATCAGCTTTCCAGAAATATCCAAACAGACATCCGGTCTGGATTCTCCTGGAACCAGTGTTGGAATCTCAATGGAACGGGAAGATGGACCTTCTGTGATACATGTACCGGTAGAATCCATCCTATCTTACAATGCGTGCATCCAGTCAGCTGCCTAGCTAGCTAGTGGATGCGTTACCCTCCCTCCTTTCAAATGACAGTCTAGATCCAAAGCGATGCTTTCCCTCTCCCCTTCCCTACAAGTGCTGATTGGTTTGTCTGTTGCTTGAAGTGGTGCGATTGCGAACGGCACCTGAATGAAAGAGGAAAAATCAAAATTTCTACTGAAAAAGTAAAATCTTGCCAGGTGCTCTCACCAGCAGACTGGCGCGGCGTTGGATCTCTTGAAAGATCCAACGGGCGAGCGGAACAACAGGCTACCACTTCTTCGGCACCATGAGATTTCACTTTCGCCATCACAATAAATAAAGTACTAGCTAGCTACGGTAGCTGAAGAGGAAAGCGCAATCGAAAGAACAACATTCTTCTTCAAGATGACCGCTGTACCATCCATGGCTCTCCGCTCTTTGCTCCTGGTGTTGCTGCTGCTACTTTGTGGCCATGCCGAGAGCGCGGAACACCCCAGCTGCACCAACTACACCAAGGGAGAGTTTGGTCCGACGACGGTAGATTCCCAAGACGTTTGCAAATCGGCCTGTGAAACGGCCGAAGGATTGCCGGTTGGAGACTACAATATGGCTCCCAACAGTTCCTGTGCTTGCAAGAGTAACGATGCCAAGACGGATCGAAAGCTGTGCAATGACAATTCGGCCGCGGCGTCCACATCATCGTTGGTCATCATGGTGGCGTCTTCCGTCCTGTTGACAATGGCCCTGCTCTAGCTAGCTAGTAGGAGTTGAGAGCGAGGAAACTTTTCGTAAAATGATAACTACTAATGATGAGGATTCTTGGTGAACTTTACTGTACCGTATTCTCCAGCTTGCTTCTTCGAGGCTTGAAAACAGTCTTCACCCTTGTGCGCCTGAGGTATATGGGTTCGTCACGGCACCGTTCAGCGGATTGTCTGACGAGGTGTAGCCTTTAAAATAAAATCTCGTTATTCATTGTACCTTGAATTTACTAGCTGTGACTTTTGCGAGGAAAAAATCACTCTGCACTCGTCTCCTTCGACCAAGCCACAGGGGTTATGTTCGCACGTGATGTTTCAATAGAACCAAGCGGGTTGAAGCTGTGTGAAAGAGAATACCACAATTGCCACTTTTACAAAAGATGAGGGGACAAGGAAACCATGTATGTTTGGACGTGACATTGATTGCCACAAGAACTCAACTTCAGGACGTGTTGTTTTGTAAGATGCATGAAGATGGGTAGCTCATCGTCACACTTGTCAGGTGTCAAATCTCAGGGAAGAATGAAAGCGGAAGAACTGCGAAGGAGTGCGGAAAGAAGGGCTGTCTAACCTGCGACTGTTCGTCTTCCTGGTACAGTAGTCTTGCTTGAAAAGATGGCGATAGCTAGGCTATGCAACTTTTGCTTTCACTCCCTTCATGGCATTCCGCGCCCGCCTTCTTGCCCCGCCCATCATTAGTATTACACCCGTAACACAGACTGAAAGTTCAAAGATGCCACGCCACAGCATCATCCATTCAATCACAAGGATGGGACCAAATGTCATTACGTGAAACGTGAGAAGAGGCAGCTGAACATAAACAGGCTGTGACTCTGCAAACTTGGCTATTGAGAGCCCGAACTCAACAAAGCGGTTGAGCCCGCTTTCATTGTTGACGGTCCGGCAAAACTTCTTGCTTATTCCCGAGCAGACCACTCGGAGTGGGGCCAGAGTCATATGCACGAAGAAGTGCTGGGATATCCCTGTTGATACACCATTCTGCAACTCAATGAGTTCCTTTGCTGCAGATTGTAGCGAGACATAGCAAGACGAAATGATGCCATCCACGACCAAAGTCCCATGATGTGTCAGAGGTGCATACAGACCCTGTCTTGTGACGATGTCCACTCCAGATACCAAAGAACCTTTTTGACCTTCAGCGTCCTTTAGAGTGTCTCCAGGGATGACAGAGTCAGCTCGAACGGGAGTGCTGCTATTTGAGATGAAAACCAGATGCTCTCTAGAGACTTCCAATGGTTGATTTCGTCCCTGTGTATGAATTTGGATAAAATCGGCCCAGGCGGTGGCACTTCGATGCGCAAATGCATAAATTGGTTGGTAACCGTTGGCCGTCAATACATTGTCACCCACTGCTAGTTGACTCATGGGTACAGGCCCTCTGTTCTTCACAGGTACCGTTGCGACCCTTGAGAAGCAGATTGGGACTGTTGGCGGCGCTGCAGTAGGGGCTGGTGTGGGGTTTAGAGTTGGAAAGGGTGTTGGCACCGGAGTCGGGCTTGGAGACGTTACAGGTGCTGGCGTTGGATTGGGAGTGGTGCCAGAACACGAGGTCGTTGCGGAATTGCAAGATGTGGAATCAATCGTAATATCTACTGCCGCCCAACCATCAATCACAAACTGTGTGAGTGTCTCTTGGTCACAAGAGTCATACTCCGCAATTGTATCCAAGAATTCTTCCACCATGATGCATGTCTGTAGGGCTCCATCTAAGAACGTACTGAGGGATGTCAATAGCTGTAGATTGGTGTATAGGAAGAGGGGTCCAACCAGGAGTGTACAATCGAATTCCGTTGACAGGCAACCATTCGCTTGGCAAGCTCGGACGGCCTTGACAAATGCCTTGTTCAGGATTCCTGAGGAATGGTGGACATTGAGAGAGCTCGTATAATCACAAATGGAACCCACAGACTGTCCGTCCAAAGGTGGGTCCTCCATGAAGCGAATAATACCGTAGAATCCTCCAAGAACTTCTCCGAGGGTAAAGTCGGGTGTATCTTGGGAATCATTGATGACGAACTCCATTACGGAACCCATGATATCAGAGTACCCTTCGTTGAGGCCGCCACTCTCACCACTGGTTACACGAGAAAAGCAGAGAACATTAGAGCAAGATTACACAAGCCATGAGAATATTCGTGTTCATCAAACACGCACCTGTACTCCAGATTTGAATGTTTCTGTGTCACTCCATGCATGACCTCATGAGCAGTCTTGAGACGATAAACATGAAAAGCACCCGTTAGATAAAGGAATGGATTGAGCCATAATCGGCTGTTTTGTTCGTCTTACAATATCAATAGACACCAGCGGGGTCAATATGTCGCAATCACAATCCCCAAAGACTATTCGATTGGAACTGTAAAAGGCATTGCAATAATCCGTATCGTAGTGCACCAGGCCATTGAGCCATTGCGGCACAGATGCATCGGAGCTCAGCCCACCTAGAACATTCAAGGAACTCTGCAGGTACTGCAATGTCTGGAGGGCGGAGAATGTCACATCGCTAATGGCATCTTGACAATCCGGAATATCCACAAGCGAACACGGACCGACGCTATTTTGACAGTCGTACGCGCCGTTCCAAAAGAGCGCCGTATCTGGGTACGGAACAAAAATGGTGCCACCAGAGGTCGTCGTTGCTTGGGTACATGTGACAGTCTTGCCCGAATCATCCAAGTAAAGCGTATTAATGGGACAGGTGGTGGTGCCCAGAAATGATGCAATGTCTTCTACTACGGCGCAACTCTGACAGATATCCTGCAATCGGCGATTTTTGTCATTGGCACGAAGGAGGTGTCTATTGTTGTCGTCTTCTTGTTGTTTTTGCACCTCCTGTTGAACGTGTTCTCGTCTTCTTCGATCCACATCGGGGTCGACAAAGGTACAGACGCTCAAGAATTCGGCGGAATGAGCATCCAAAACAACTCGATAGACGGCAGTACTTCCAGGGACTGGGACAATGACCTCGACAAAGTAGGTCAGGTAGTCTTGTGGCTGGGAAGGGTACACATAGAGGGTAACATTTGAGTCAATGTCTTGTGCTGGTATATTGTAAAAGTCGGCAACAATTTCTTTGGCTTTGTCAATGGAAAAGGCTGGTGTATAACCTTGTGGGACCCTGACATCTCGAAACGATTTGGCAAACATGTCGCGCACTTGAAAGTCATTCAAAATTTGTGTCAGTGACATGGGTGGCGCATTTTCTGGTTGGTCTTCGGCACTCCACCACTCGTAGTTCCTGGAATTACCACCAGGGGCACAGTTGCCTCCAAATGACATGATCATGTCGGCTCCGTAGACGGGTACCCCTTGGAGTTCTTCTCGCAGTCGAGAACGACCGTAATTGCATTCCATGTTCCGCCGACTGATAGCAAAGGGAACGATAGGTCCTCCTTTGACCGTATACCAACTATCTGTATCAATGACAATTCCTTCTCGAGAAATGACTGGTGGAGTGCTACCACCAGGACTGCCTCCAGGACCTTGACCAAAGCCTCTCATAGTTTCAAGTCTTGACAGGTCAAGCAATCGACCGTCGCATTGTCCCTCGTCGCCGGGAGCGGGTCCTCGGACTCCTTTCACTGTAGAGGTATGAACCAACCAGATGGTCACCACCAAGACCAACACTGCAGTATTGCTGAAGAAGGACATGGTGGAGATGGGATGAAGATTAGAAGCAATGGATTATTTCTTCAGCAGGGGATGAAATGATGGTGCATCTTGTCCTTCCGAATGACGGTTGAATTCGGTGATATTGTGGCCATGCAGACAGTCAAATCATGCCCGCTCATGGTACTTAGGTATTCTGCATTCTAAGTATCTTTGGACAGTCCTGAGAGCGGGACGACACCTCATTTTTGTGACTGATTCGATTCAAATGTGCGTCCACATTTGCGGGCTCTCTCGTGGCTCAAATTCGTTCTGCCATCGCGGAGGGAGGCAGCGAAGAACCTCCTTTGTGGAACGCAGAAGCTGGGATAGAATCGAATCTAATGCAAAGGAAAGTTGCAGGTATCTTGGATGTGTTGGTTCGAAAATCACGACATTGAGTATTTGTCTGTTTTGCCGTACCTGCTAACCATGTTGGAGCTCTTGACATTCGGGTTGGAGTGTGTCCGCGAAAGAAGCGGTATCTTGGTGGTAGCATTGGCTGTCGCTTCGTCTGTTGCCCTTGTGTGGCTTTGGAAGAAGATTGAGTATGAAAACAAGCAAACGAGCAAGGCGACTACCTTCTCAAGTGATAGCAAGAAGAAGAAGAAGAGAGGAGGCGTTTGCCCCTTTTCTGCCGAATCTGACTTTTTGGTAGAAACCGCTCATGACTTGCCTCCCGCACCTTTGGACTTGTTGGAGTCCTGGGTGGACCCATCCCACCCTGACTTTGGTAAGTATCCCTTGGCAGCACGATGGTTGGAAGCAGGGATTTCCGGACAAGACACTCCCGGGATGTTACGAGCTGGTCTCAAAAGACTCCGTGACTCCAAGTTCTTTTTGGTAGAAGAACCATTTCGGCTCCAAGAGGAACTCACCATGAAGAAAAAGGCATTGGATGATCCAGAGCGATTCCCCACCGTCTTTGTGGCAGAGTCTGATGACAAGTGCTTGCAAGCCCAACAAGAATGTTTGAAACTCTTTCTTGATTACTTGCCACGGCGATATCCAGATTTGTATTCGTTCGACAAAGAACAAAACTCCATTCATGTCAAATGCATGGATACCACCTTTCACATCAGTGATTATTCAGAACGACCCTTGGAACTTTGTGAACGAATTGTCCAAGAAGATCTGGTCTTGATGAGACCGCCCAGCAAACCAGCTGAAGAGCAATACATCATGGCGGCTGCTGCGGTTGTCTTTAGTTTCAATGAACTATCTGACAAACTTGGCCAGCCAGTGGCCTTTATCCATGCACCTGTACCTGGATACCAGGAACAGCTTCGTCGGACATTGGATTTGACATTTAGCAAATTGCTCAAGATGGAAGCACCCATGTGGAGGAACAACTGGGGATTAGCACCCTCAGGACAGCTTGACAAACCATTGTATGGATCCTCCCAAGCCGCAGAAGATCCTTGCTTTCAAGCCTCCAAAATGACACGGGCCGATGTTCAAGGAACCTTTCTCAAGGTAGAGTATCAAACCATTCGCCGTTTACCAAAGTCGGGATACTTGCTCTTTACTGTCAAGACCATGGCCGATCCCATGAGTAGTTTGGAGCAAACTCCCAAAGCTGCTGCTTGTTTGGCCAAGTCAATTCGAGGCATGAGTGCGGCCATGAGAGTTTACAAGGGAATCCAGAATGATGACATTTGCAAAGTGGTGCTGGAGTATCTGGATAGCATTGCTGTTGTTGTTGTTGACCAAGCGACGAAAGGAGAAGCAGGAGTAGAAAAATAATGAGGCAGAGATCGTAATTAGTTGCTTCACCGAGAGGCAACTACAGTAGGAAACAGGGATTCTTGGACGAGCTGCGCGTAATGAAATAGTGCCCATTCGGCGACCAAGAAGCATCTTCGTTCGGTCCAACTGTTCCAACTGAATTGCTTAGTATGGTAGGATGGAGCTAAGATTTGAACTGCACTGAAGGATTGAGTGTGTAAGGTGTAAGACCTCTACATCTACATCGTACTCTAGGAGTACTGAGAGCACACACTACCGTATGGCTAACGTGGTGGCCTACAAGAACACTCTAGACTTTCACTGCGGACTGAAGACCGTGGCGCCGTGGCGTGGATATGGGATCGGTACCGATAGTGGTGGATGGTGGAGGAGATTTGGAGTTTTATTTCCAGGGTCATCTTCGGAGTCATCTCCATCCTCACCATTTGTTGCAACGATAAATGGGCGCGATCACAATTGGGTCTTGAGTGATGAGGCACGGTCATTCTTACTAGGAATCGAATCTCAAAGACACGATGTGCCTTTTACAACTGAGTTTTTCGTCCAGTTTTGATCGTGAAAGGTGAAAGTGTTGAGTGGATGATGGTCAAGAGCCAAATTCACATCAATCAGAGAGGCCGAGAGAGGTAATAACATCCAAGCACCGAGGATCCTTCGTCTGTTTCTACCGGTACGATGATGAATAGACTCGTTCTTGGAAGCTTGCTGGTCGGCCTTGGCTACGCACAAATGGCGCCAAAGTTGAGACCCAACAGCACCGAGGAATTATGTGCTGACGAACCATCCAATGGTCTCCTCAACGGGGACGAGTGCTACTCTGTCGATATCAGCACATGCCAAATAAGGAATAACGAGATCCGGGATTGCGTCTTGGCTGAAGGGACCTACGACTATTATCTCACCAAAGACGAAGAGGGCGGCGGATACCCCCGGATTTCTTTGTGGACGGTCCTTTTCAATCTCTTCTTCTTTTC